AGAGAGAGAGAGAGAGAGAGAGAGAGAGAGAGAGAGAGAGAGAGAGAGAGAGAGAGAGAGAGAGAGAGAGAGAGAAATCATTTTTAACAGGGTCACCAGTATTGGAAGCCTCTTGTACATGTAAGTGCACAATCAGTTACATTACATACAGTACATGTTTCCACAGTTTAAATAATTGTTAATAGCTAAATGATGCACACTGAATAAATGTTTTCCCTCAAAAATAAAATGTTGATGAATAAATTCTAAACAGATACAGACGAGACCCATAATAAGACAGCGGTTCACAAAAACAATAAAAAAGTGACACAAGGCTAAATAGAGAGATCATCACCTACTTAATTATGAGTCATTCCCGATAATGATAATAGAGCAATTTGTATGGTATACACACTGCAAAACCACATAGATAGTTTTTTGGTCAGCTATACACTTGGATAATGAAAGACAAAAGAGTGAAATGGAGAGAAGGGGAACAAAAGAGAGGCAAAAAGAAAAGGTCATCAGCTAATTTTATTCATTTTGAAAAAGTACAAGAGAGAAGGAGAAAGGAAAGGAAAAGGTGGCAGAGTGAGACATTGTGAAAGAGAGAAAGAAAAGAGAAAAGGTTAGCTGTACATTTGATCTATTTTTGATCACCCCCTCATTGCATTTTGTTGCTTTTGTAACACTGTTCATGTAATATTTATGCTGATACTCAATGGGGGCCTTGGAGGCATCGGCAGCACATGCTAGACGGGGCGCGAGTATATTTTATTCACAGCTGCTTTAAATTCAATACAGTTCGGTGACAATTTTATTTGATGGTATAACAATATGAATATACAGTTCATGGATTGACTGAAAATATAAGAGGAAAACTTATGAAATACAATTTTCAGCAGTATAACAAATCACACCTATCTCTTTAATGATGATGGTGTGCCTCCAAATCGTGTCCAGACATGTGCAAGTGGCGTATTGCCTCTCACTGTGTCTGCTGAACTAATAAACCTGAATGTTGCTGTTTGTGCTACTATATTAATGGTGTGCTGCTACAGATAGGGACGAGTTATTTCCTCATTTCCTTGTAATGAATTGCCCTCACTGTATGGCATCTAGACCTATGCTAAATCCCTTCCTTCCTTAACAATGTCTTAATCTTTTAATTAAACGGGTAAACTCTATTGGGAAACAATGCACTATCAATGGAGACTGATATTAGAAATAGTGAGGGAGAAGATGAGAGGAAACAGAGGAAAGATAAGGAAATGAACAGAGGAGGTGTTAAGAAGGGAAGCTCGAGAAATAAAAACAATGCATCTTTTTTTCACGCCAAACAGCAGGCGGGTGTTGCATACACAATCAAGTGCTACTGCAAGGCCAATGAAAAACTGAAGCTGGAAGAAAGAATGACAGTGAAAAATGACAGGGATGATGAAAATAGAAGATTGTTTCATTTTTTGTGGTGATTATCACCAACAGCCCCACTGAGCAAACCTGAGTTTATGCAACAATGCATCCACCATCCATCCATCCATCCTCCCTCTCCCTCGTTCACATTTCCCCTCTCTTGTCTCCCACTTTTCCTCCAAAAAGACTCAAGTAGAAACTTGAATCGAAGGTGACAGGTACACAGCAGGACAGAGAGCGAGAACAAAAGGCAGAACAAGAGAAGGAAGCGTGGAGGAAAAAGAAAGTGAGAGTAGGGAGGATGTGAGGAGGCTTTTCTTTTTTTAGCTCGCTAGGTCTGCGTGTTCTCGGTTAAAAAACAACTTGTAGTGTTTTATTAAGAAGAAAAAAATCTATTATTTACAACCATCACATCTGGGTGGTCAGAAGACTGAAGGAGAAAACACAAAACTTTACTTCATGGCAGTTGTTTCTGTTCGCCTCTGCACTGGATAAACACCAGTCATCATCTCCACACAATTGAAGGCATGTAACCTCCACACACACACACACACACACAAACACACACACACACACACACACACACACACACACTCACACACGTACGTACATATATCCACCAAAAAAAAAACAAATAAGCCATCAAAAAATTCATATCTTGGTCGAAGCAGGTGTGTTCATCTTAAGGAAGATAAAAACAAGCTTTCATATCCTCTTGTGTGTGTGTGTGTGTGTGTGTGTGTGTGTGTGTGTGTGTGTGTGCGTGTAGATGCTGAGATATATTTAGCTCTGATAACAAATGTTCTGGGATCCAGACCAATCTAGTCGATAATGATGGAGAGCATCTGTGAGAACAGCATCCAGACGAGCAACGTGTGTGCAAGTGTGTGTGTGTGTGTGTGTTGCTTGGTAGATAACTCCCACAGCAGAGCTAGACTCTGAGAAGTTGGAGGAAAGACACAGAGAAAGAGGAAGAGATAAAGAAAGAAGCAGAGACAAAAAGGGTTGAGATCCTGCTGGATCTCAAGATAGACAAAAAGCGATTGCTGCACACATTGAGAGATAGCGACAATAATAGGATGAAAATGGGAAAAGAAATTCAACAAGAACAAAAACCCCAAGGAAATAAGCAGATAGAGAGAGAAAGGTTGTCAGATGAGACTCACATGGTAGACAGGGAGTGCAGGGTGGAGAAGGCTCCCGGGGCGATGCTGGAGATCCTGTTGTCGTACAGCGAGAGCAGACGCACCGAGCTCAGACCCGTGAATGTGCTGTTGTCAATGCAGCTGATCTGGTTGCTCCGCAGCATTCTGGAAACACACGTATCAATTATATTTAGTAAACGAAAAGCTATTTTGTTTTACGATGAAGATTGCAGTAAAATCTCCAAAGCACAAACTCCACAGTCTCATGTTTAGATTTCATCGGCCAAATCTTAAATCAGGTTTGTTAGAGTTTAAAACAATAATCTGATGACTCAAGAATTTATCATACTCTTTATACTTTAATTTTTATTGTCGATGTTGTTTCGACATGCGGTTTTGCTGTTTGTCCCGTGGCTACTGAAACAGGTCGTCTTTTAAACAGTTGGATACAAAATACAAAATGTACCGTCTTTGGTTGGATAACAAGAGACAAAGAGGATATAAGAACATTACCTATAATGACACAGACAGAAAGCAGAGGTAAATTCAAACCAGTCCCCACAAGACAACCGTGACCGAGTGCGCAATATGACATTAGCTTTTGACATGCAGTCATGTGGGACCAGGCTAACTGAGTTAGTTAGCATTAGCAAACTCTGGGACAGGCTAACCTAGTTAGCAAGGCTATTACTGGAGCAGGGAGCCTCTTAACATAATACAGAGACAGCCATGATGCCATTAGAGAGTCATTAGCCGGCATATATATACATGATAGCATTAGTTAGTCATTACTGAGCATACACAGACAACATTAGCTCATGATTTTGTACACTATCCTGTAACCCCTAATTGGACGCTAGCCTATTTATGGTGGGTGCCCAAATTAGAGGAACAACAATATACTGTCATTAGCTTTGATTTCAGGGTGAGTGAGTAAACAATCCTGGCCCTCTCTTTTCAGTCTGAGGGAGAAAAAAATGAATGAAGTCCACTATAAGTCAGATGCTAACATAAGTCATAGTCTGCACGGTTTAAGGCATCACAACCAGGACACTTGCCGGCCATATTGTAGGAATAATAGCACTCGGACAGTAAACAGGACAACTAAACCAGAAATAGTCAAAAAGTAGGTTTCAGGTGATTTCATAGCTCCTGTGTTTGGCATTTATCCACATGGGTATCAAAAGCACTTGCTTTGTTCTTTATATAGTGCTTTTAGTTAAAGGTGAAGACAGACTTTTACATATTTCAAATTCATTAGCATTAGTGTTCTGCAGAGTGGGAGGAACATGGAGACTTGTGGGGTTACATGTAGCCTGCATAATAGCACAGTATTCATTTTCTTAACAAACAGACCACTACTACCACATAAATACAGTGTTGAACACAATCACACACACACACATACACACACACAGACACACACACCCTAATGTTAACCAGACTTACAGCGTTTTCAGGCCAATGAGGCCTTTGAACATGTGTCCCTGCAGTCCTGTTATCTTGTTTCCCGTCAGCAGCAGCTCCAAGACTCCACCTGCTCCGTCAAAGGCACCGTCACGGATGTCCCTCAGCTTGTTGTTGCTCAAGTTTCTGGAGGACGGACAAAGAAATTAGGATATTCAGACTTGGCTGTTCTTCATAATTCTTTTTCTGCTCGTGTTTAATTTAACTACAGTATAGGCAGGAGAACCACCTGCAGGATAACAGCATGCAAACACATATGAAGTGATTGCATGGGCGCACACACACACACACACACACACACACACACACACAC